CAAATATTACAATTATATTGCATTATAAAAAATTTGTTTTTATAGCCATTATCAATTGACGAATTTACCTAGTTCAAATGGACCTATTGTATATTTTCTGGTTTTTGAGATAAACCAATTATTTTTTCATTACTAATTGAACGCATGTTTTTATTATTATGCATTTTTGTATCATTTGTCTTTGATAAATCACTTGAATTCTTAGCTACAATATCTGTTTGCGCTCTATCACCTATGTTACATTCTGTTTCATTCGTATCCGATTTATTTTCTTTTAACGAATCAGATTCAGAAAGTATTTTCTTAGAAGTAGGTGCTGTAGATTGTAGTTTATTTTTTATTATCACATTCGATTCATCTATCAACGATACTTTTCTATTATAATCGTTCGGTAATTGAATATTTGAATTGGTTGATTCGTAATCAAATCTATTAGATAGCGGAATTTCGATAGGTGATATATCATTAGAACAACTTTTTATGCTCGTATTTCGGAAAATCCTAGGACTCGTTTCATAGACGTTTAGTATAGGATGATTGTCTCGTCTAATTGATCGATGATATCCAATTCTATTGGCTAATTCTTTTAAATTCCTTTTATTTCTATTATTAGTTTTGAAAATATCCAAGTCTGAATCATCAGATAAATATGAACGTATTTCGTTATAAGATTTCCTGTTTACAATTTGCCTTTGATAAGTATTTTTACTCTTTATGCGTTGAGATTGGAAAGTTTCGAAGTCTTGTTGGACCTTAGCCTTATCCACTTTTATTCTATTTAGTCTAGCCGTTGCTTCTTGTATCATTTCGTCGTCGGTCTGAATGTCCGACTCCAACAAAGTTGTCGAGTGATCACTGGTTGTATTAGTAAAATTATGTTGTAGGATTAAACGATTTTTTGGTTTTAGGTTTTCAACGAAAGCAAGCTTTTTTTTTACAGTCCTTGCACGACGATAATCATCACTGAGAGTTGGAGACACTAGATGAGTTTTTTCAATTTTTTTTGCCAAATTAGAAGCTCTATACGACAATTCTTCAATTCTATGTCGTTGAATTGTAATAAATTCGCGTAACTCCTCATTTTCTTTTTGTAATTTACCAACCATTTCTTTGTCCTGAAATAAAAGAATTAATACAATTATATACTTTAAGTTTATCGTAACGTTTACCAATGACGCTTCAACATTTAGTATATTATTTTTATCTTCATTTATATTCACGCGTTCAATTGTTTTGTATTGTTCAAGCTCGTTAAGTTTAATTTTAAAATCTTCTAGTTCTTTAGTTAAATATACATTTTGTGCCTCTAAATTTTTTACTCGACTACATTCAATTTGGTCTGCCTCTTCTGCAATATTTGGTAACTTTCCTTCTCTTATCCTTAAAAGTCACACATAAAATATTATAATACTATAATTTTTGTAACTCAAATCTAAGTCAATATATTTTAAAATTTTGATGTAATGTATTTTACTAAATTATTGGAAATTAGAAGTAATAGTTAATATTTGTGTATTAAAATTACGTATGTAGACAGAGTTTCAAATTTTGGTAATACTGATATGTAAATAATATATATGGGGCATTCTGAGTCAAACCACGCGGTCATCAGCCTGACCTCCTCAAATTTTTTTATTAAACTTCTTTTGGTCAAATGTAAGACTTTTATTTTTTGGAAATTTTTATCACTAGTTTTTGCCCCAAAAATATAGGTTTTTAAAGTTAATTTTCAAAAAAATTGATTTCGACCAGTTTTAAATTTCTGAAATTTTTATCATAAAATCCGAGTCTTAAATCAAATCTTTTCGTCTAATAACGGGAGTTGGCCGAGATTTATTTCTATTTTTTTTTTTAATAAAGACAATTTTCCCGGGTAGTCACCCATCCTGGATCAAGCAGTAACGGACACAGCTTAACCGTCAAATGCCGCGTGGCACACTGCATCCACACTATGCCCCTGTATTATTTTTAATGTTATTCGTAAGGACAATTTTTCACTTTTTACTCACAAAATATGCAAAAAATCAAAATTTACCAAGACATATTTTATTTTTTATTCTTTTTTAAATAACTAAACTGAAATTTAAAAAAAAAATGTTTAGATTTTGAAAAAAACAAAATTGTATTAAAAAAAAAATAGAAATAAATCTAGACCCACTCCTGTTATTAGACAAAAAGATTTGATTTAAGACTGACTTTATAATAAAAATGTCAAAAAAATAAAAATCTTATATTTGATCAAAAGAAGTTAAAAAAAAAAATTTGAGGTCAGGCCGATGACCGCGTGGTTTGACACAGAATGCCCCATATATATATATAAATGTATGTATATGTATGTAATGCCCTTACAATTTTTCTTGTTTTATAATTTCCATTTCTCTAAGCTTCAGTTCACATTTTTGATTTTCCACATCTTGTAATTTTTTATAATAGTCAGCTTCTAATGACTGTATTTTTTTTTCCTTTTCCTAAAATACAATTTAAAATAAAACCAAAGTACGTAGTATAGTCTTTAAACAGAATCTTTTGAGATCAAACTATGAAATAAAATTTGTAATTGTGCTTACTTCGAAAATGTCAATTAACTGATATAAATGGTGTTGTTCAGTACGAAGTTGTTGCGTAACATATTCTATTTGTTCTTTATCAAAGAGTATATTTCTATGCTGCGCCGCTGGCATTTTTTCAACTTCAGCTACTTTATCCACAATTTCTTTGTTTTGCTTTTTAAGCCTTAAATTTTCGTTATTCATAGGCAATTGTTTCGTGTACTGTGTTTGATGGTTTCTAAAATATAATTGTTTTTAATTAATTTGACAGTAATATTTAATATAAATTTTGTTTCAGTAATCTTTACGAAACCAAGCAATAATAAAATTACGGATAAATGTAATACAAACGATATTACAAATATTACAAACGATAATTGCGGAAATATTTTTAATAAGTGGTTAGTAGTTGATATTCATAATTTATTAATTCACTTCTGCTAGTCATCATAACGAGGCGTCTTTAAAAACAAGTATGATGAATCCTGTACTGGATCTCAAACGCTACCAATCAGAGTAATTGTTTTATGAGCTTATGAAAAATACTTACAACTTACTTTTGGTTAATATGCATAGAAGAAAAACCTTTGAAAAGACTCATGATTAATGGAACAGTATTGTCATGGCTAAAATATATTTGGCATACGTTTTTCGTAACATCGGAACTGGGGTGTACACCCAAAGCTTCTAATATATCTTGTACTTCACTTAATTGAAACCTCGGTTTAGGCAATGAAGAATTTGACGATGATACTCCCACTCGATTGACGTAAGTCGAAAAGTTTTTTAAGTTGCCCAATAATGGTACCTTCAAAAACAAAAAAAAAAACATTTCCAACTAATGTAAAAAAAAAAATATTTTGTGTAACTTCAATTATACTTCAGCCATGAAAACAGGTAAAGTAAATACATTTTCTTGATAAATTAAAAACTCTGCTATTAACAAGTGGAATGCTTGAATTTTAGGAGAAGTAATGTTTTGTTTTATAGTGTTCCAAGAATTCAGATCCAGCAACGATGTTATCATTTGCTCTCTAATGTGTGCTCGTAAGTTATTAATCAGTCCTTTTTCTTCAAACCTAAAAATGAATATATATATTGATTTGTGAGTAATAATCCTAAGCCAAGTGCTCTTTTTTTTTATCGTTACCATGCGTAGAGTTTATTTTTGAGCAGAGTGTCTTCGTGATTATTTTCATTAGTCGGACAATCATTCGGTTTATCAAAACTCATAATAAATTACCGTTAAACAAATTGGTAGGTATAAAAATTTAATTTAATTTACTGAATATATTACAATTTGTTAAGGATAAAAGAACAAGCAAAACAAATACTACCGATTATATGAATATAATGTGTGAAAATACCACCAACGGTTTATCAAACAGTGACAATTGTAATAATTAATGATTATACACGAATTGCTATCGGTGAAATATCCTTGATTAAACTATTTATTTAAATAAATGTTTTCAAAGATTTAGTGAAAAATACGTAGTATTGTTTATATTACTAACGTACTTAGTATACACATTTATGAATTACTTTAATGGTCTTTTTATGTATTTGGTCCTGAATACATAATTTAAAACTGAACACGAAAAAAAAATTAATTACATTTATTGAAAAATACGGCACTGACTGTTAGTTTTAAATAAATAAAATAGCAAGGCAACTAGTAAAAGTAACATAATTGAAGCCAGCGATTAACAAATACATAGTTATTTAGTATATATTTTTTGTTACAAATTAACATATAGCATATTTCCCAATAAATATTTCCACTTGACCATCCCCAGTAAATATTAACAAAATGTTTTCAAAAAAAAAATGCATGGATTACATTTTTAACTATAAAAAAAAACGTAAATTAATCTTGTGAATATTTATGTTTGAGTTTTATTGCAGCTAATATTCCGTGGTATAAATTACAAAATCCTCAATTCCGCGCTTTCATAGAAAAATATACAAACCTACGTATACCAAATGATAGTTTACTAAGGAAAAATTATCTGTCACATTGTTATAATAAGATATAAATGACCGTGTCCCGTGGCGAATTTATTGGTTGGGAAAACAATTTTCCATAAAAGCACATTTTGAATTTAACAGAATTTAAATAAAAACGTATTTTTCATATTTGACTACGATTTTAAAGAATATATTCAACTTTCTAAGAGAACATTAGCATCTTATTTTGGCTATTTCAAGGGAATATTATTCATAGTGATTACAAGAAATCACTATGACAACAGCTAGAACAAACGGCGCAAATGTTGTGAATTCAGTGTTTATATTTTTGGATATAAAATCATTCTCTTACTCAATATACAAAAAAATGTATATAATTATTAAAATAAAAACTAGCATGTGATTTGGCTTACAATCAATTTTTATAATATATAAATTAATATACAAATTTTGTTTCAATCATTTTGAATTTTAAAGAGATCATCTTCTTGTTGGCGACGGTGGTGGTGGTGGTGGGTCATGGGGACAAGACAACTGATAGATAAACTGCAGCAGGGTCCTTGTCATGCGCCCTGTAGCAAACTCTTTCCTCAGATACGGGTAAGTCACTTCGTCGGTGTTTTTACTGACTCCGGCCACATCGAGATGGACATAGTCCAGGTTGTCGATGAACTCGTTGGCGAACGCTGCGCTTTTTGGCAGATCGTCGAGCATCACACCGCCTTCTCCGAGTACTGCCACGTCGGCCAGCGGATCGTTGATCATCATCTGACGTTTGCGGTCGTACCTCGGAAACATCCACGTCCTGTCGCCCATCAACGCGCCCGCCCTCTCCAACTCCTTCCACAACTGGGGGCTGTTGGTGAACAACGGCGCAGCCAATTCTCCAAACACGCTGTGCACGATTTGACTGAGTGTACACGCATGCACCACCAGCCGGGGGTTGGTGGAACTGGCGTACGCCAGTGTGTCGGCCATGGCCAGTCGACTCACGAATTTCGTGTGGTCAACGTGTACCGACCTTCCGCCCTGGACATGCAACACGTCGCTGGGATGCATGGCCGTGCCCGACGTGGAGCTCTCGAACAGCGGGATGTACGCGTTCACGTTGATCGGCAGGCTGAGTTGCGATATGCCCTTCATCACGCCGACGATGGTGGCGGCCGACGCTACGTGTCGCTTCTTGTAGGCCATGTCGTCGCATTCGCGCAAACACGCGCCGCCCGTGTCGAACGTGGTGGCGTGCGCGGTGAGCGCTATCGGTTTTTCGCTATCGTTGCCACCGGTGTAGCAGAGGACGGCGAATAGCGGTTGCTCGCACGATCCCTTGGACGCCTCGAGCAGCCCGTTCAGCTTCTTCGCTTCAATCCAGTCACGGTCTTGGATATCGACGGTGATGCCGCACGGACACAGCGTACGGATCATTTGTTCGGCGAAATTGTTGGGCGTCAGGATGTTGGCCGGGATCTCGGTGAGTAAGCGGGCCAGGTTTTGTACACCCCCGAACACGGTGCCCCTCTCGAAAAGCTCCCGGTCGTCTCTGTGGAGTGCCTCGACGGTCACGTTGGCGGTCTGGTTTTCCATTGACTTTGTGCCCTCGAACTTCCACGCGGCCAGTGTCGCACTCTCGGCCACCGTTTCCGGACAATTGAGGCCGTCCACGAAAACCTTTGTGGCGCCCTCGTCGGTCACCAGTACAACGGCCTTGCCAATTCCTTGACGTACGTTTTCCTTGCCCAGGTCCATGTACTCGTTGGCATCCATTCCCACGTCGGTCGGACCCAGGTTGGCCACCGCCAGGTTTGGGTACTCCTTGTCCAGGTTGTTCAACAGCAACGCGTCGCCTTGTTTTACCCCAATGGACGCGACCAACTTTTCCAGGAGTCCGCCCAGCCGATCGTTAAACGCCGTCGCTTCTCTTGAGAACTCCATTGACGTGCCATTTTGGTACACGCCCAGCACGATACCACTTCGGGTACCGTGAGACTTGCACTCGGTCGAGTACGCCGAACGACCAAGAGCCGCACGGTATTGTCGAAAACAGTTACGAGCGGCTCTCGTTAGCATGTTAGTGTAAAACATTTCGCATGATCTCTATTAAACAATTTTTAAAAATAAACGCCGACCATTAACAGTCCGTCTGCGTTACGACAGTGTTGTGTGTTTTCTACTAAAATTATCGTTATATTAAGTCGAATAACAGCGAATTTTTTCTAATCGGCCGTACATAAAACACACAGATGCATTTATTTTGTTATTTACATTTATCCCATCGGACTGTCGGACAAAGCACACGAATATTATATTTATGCAACTGCAAGTTTCCAAAGGCTTCACAACGGATTTGTATCATCTGTAAAGACCTTCAACAATCTGTATTCTTTTTTATGTAGATTGAATAGAATATTAATAATATTTTTGAAGTAAACATAAAAAATCTAGATTACATATTTTTTCTATCTGACAATTTTTTAGTATGCAATCGTCAGCCCTTTCGTGTGTTATTTCATTTCTTATAATACATTGCAAGATAATATCAAAGTCTACCCTACTCCATCTTCCTAATAGAGTAGTTGCTGGTGTTCGTTTTTATACTGGCGAATTCGTTTCTTACGCATACTTCAGCTAAACCGACATAATATACAGTTATTTTTTCGTACAGTACAAGGATTTGTATAAATGCACTATTATATTATACACACAATGTACCAGTGACAACACGATAACTCTTTGTTATTGACAATTGTTGTACGTACTTAAGGTAAACAAGGGGTAATTACAGTTTAATAAATTATATGTATCACGGTTGCTCTTTATTCTTTTTACAAAAAAGGTTAAAACAAAAGTATACAGTCATGAAAAAATGTCCGTATACGATCCAAACGGAAGTGTCCGATCGTCTAGCGGCGGCAGTGCGTTGTTTTGCCGTGTAAAAAATGATTAGAACGCGAGAGGATTAATAACGATTCATACTACCAGATCATTTTTAATATACCTTACTGTCATAAGGTAGCACATCATTTAACCGTATGGAACGTGCTCAGAATATAAAACGAATTGTCGTCAATGAAAATAAAAAGTGGATAGTATTCGGGTATTATAGACATAATGTCAAGAATACACGCTTAAAAAAATGTCTATTTTTACAAACTCTTATTTTAGGGGTTGTCTTTAGTTTCTTGAATATAAAGTCGCTAAATATAATATTATTCTACAATTAATCATTAACTGTGTTACATGTCCTGTAATAATCGGACCTGCTATTTATTTCATTCGAGTTTTCAGACATTCTTGCGTTTAGGTCGGTAGTATTATTGATGAGTATAAAAATCAATTTTTCTTGTTCGTCGAACATTTTCTCAGCATCCATAAATAAAAAAGCTATTATTACTTGTATCTTGGATTTGAAAAGAAAATTTAGAAATCCTTCGTGCAGGATTTACATTTAATCCTAAGTATTGAAGTAAGATTAAAATCTTATGAAGTAGGGCGATTTTTGTAAACGGCCTTGAAATCATGCACGGTATAAAAATACCTGTATGATATTTATTTTTTACCAGTTTGGCTTAACTCTACAAACTTGTCTTAATTTATATTGTTAAGCTAAACTATTTTTTTCCCCCAACCTACCCAAACCGCCCTAATCCATTTTTCCTCGTTTTCCTGCTATTGGTACAACTTACGATTTTCGTTATATATTCATTTTTAATTCTCTCTAATTATTCATCACACATCCATCACAATATTTCTCTTTTAGCCGCTTCCGTTCTATTTTCAACTCCTCTTTCTCTTAACCCAAGTCCCAAAAGAATAAACGTTGACACAAATTCGGACAAACCTCCAGATTTCAAGACAATATTGCAGCAGTCAAAGCAACAACAATTTCACATTAAAACTTCACGATAATTTAATTATGCAATAACTATATTTTATAAATGTAATTGTACTTTATACTTAAAAGAGGTACATGACCCATAAAAGCTTAAGAACCTATGCTTTATAGACACGATTATCCGTTCTCGTAAACATATTTTTTTAGAGATAACATGCACACAGTTATCAATTAGGATAAGGACATCCGTGGCGGTTATCAAACGCACGTGCCTTTACGCGCGCGCAATATATTTTCTACGGGCCGTGGAAGAGAAAAATAGCCGACAGAATTCCTCATGGCGTAAAAAAGTTAAGTTTTTATTCTTGGGCGATTTGAATTTTTCGTACTGTTTAGCAAACTATCCCTTATGTGTTTTAGACTATAATTATGTATTTGTATATGTTTTTAATTTATACTTGTAACGAAAACGTCTGATAGGTATACTGTGTCATTATAGGCAGCAACCTGGTAGACAGGCAGTCCGCTTTTTTTTTATTTTAATAAACGTTAATCCTCTCTCTATAGCGGTAAACAGTTAACAGATAACGGGAAAATCACGCAGTGGCGGCATTTTGGTACCCACTAGAAATATTACTTTAGGTATAAAGTTGAAATGTTTATCATTATTATAATTTTTTTTTTTCTGTATAATCAGCAGGCTGATAACCCGCGGATTTTATTTACGATAGAAAAATCGCGTTCGCTCAGTATTATGGTTTTCTTTTTGACGATTAAACGCTGCGATATTAATAGTTTTATCAATTTACTATATTTATATATTGATACACCATTGATTTATTTTTCATAGTTCATTTCGCTGCAGCATTCAAAGTTAGTTCAGTGTTTCTTGTTCAAATTTTTTACTATCATAATTGTGCCAATCCGAAATGGATATGGAAATATTAAAGTATATGCTGACGATGATGAAGGCTTCAGCCTATGCTGTATTTGTATTCGCATGAGAAATGAAAAGATCATGACCCCTTATTTAGTTCTAGAAGTACAGAAGACTATCATGAAATATTAATTAACGATCATTTAAAAACAACGAAAATAAGTTCAGGGAATTCTTCAGACCAAACGGCCGTCAATATGACTTTATTTTTAATTTAATTACTGATGACTTAACTGTCTCAATTCTGCATTTTTTATAAAGAAACCTATTACGCCGGAAGAAAAATTAGCAGTCACTTTGATGAGGTACTTATAATATTTATAATCTCACCTATAAAATAAAATATCAAATCATTTACTATGCAATAATATAAGATTGTAACCGTTATTATTTAGGCATTAATTTAAGCGTATTTGTGGTAAATACTTAGAATAGAAAAACTATTACTTAATAGTAAAATAAATTAAAAACATAGCAATTCTTACTAATATCTTTAATATTTAGATTTTAGTGCAATAAAGTAAAGCTACTATAATTTTTAAAAGTAACACTATTTATTATTAAGACAACTTTCACTTATAAATGTATGTATTCTTTGAAGGATAAAAATCTACATATTACCTTATATGTATAAATAATATAATAATTGATGCTATCACTACTATTGAGGATGTATAGTCTAATATATTTCCTGGTTTCTAGTTGGACGATTCATAGTACGTCCGCAGCAGGGAACGGTATGTTTGCGGGCGAATGACAGTGCATCGGTATAATTTTCGCAGTCGTGGGTGATAAATGCCGAAATACGGGTACGCGTGAACCCCAAGATGGGCAAATTCTGCGCGATTTTATTGTTGACCATAAACAGTTACCGGAATTATGGGATGTGCGTAGTAAAATAACTACTCTCTCGCATGCTGGTGTTCATTTTCGTGCTCAACGTTGCAGCCATACTTAAAAGTTGACTATAATTATTAATATTCATTCGGGAATAATTATGGAAGTCTTTTGGGTCTGAAAGGCGCACCTCGTTGAAAAGATTTGAATGTGTGTGCTGTCTTCGTTTAGCAATCCACTCATTCATCCATAGTTTTCATTTTCTCGAAACTCTATTATTTCGAATGGAAAAAGCTAGTAAAATTGCCAAACGTGCTTTTTGATAATCATCTATATTCAATTATAATTATTTTATAAAATAAAAATAAAAAACGTATTATTTTGTTTAAATCAAAATTTAAAGACAGTGAAGAATTACCTAGACATTTTAAATCTCGATTCTCCTAGATCTGTAGCTTTTAAAAATTACATTCATGACCAAGTATTTCATACATTTAATATAGAATGGCTTAAATAACGTCATATTTATTTTTGTACATAAATTAAATAACAAGGTCAGCGAGATAAAATGTGTTAATCCGTTTATTTAATTTCAATATTTTCACAAGAACAATTTTAAAACAACAATGTACGACTTTACTGCAAGTAAGTAATGAGTATGCCGTATTATTTACACGGGTTTTAAAATGGACTTAAAGGTTACTTTTTGTTCATTTCACGTGGACATCGTCGATTCTGTAGTGAGTGCACTTTGGGTGTAATTTTCCGGTAGGCATAATCATAGGATGGTTGACGGAATACAGTTTAGGAGAATATTGACGGCAAGATAGACGTGTAGTAGTGCCTTTTACTGGGAATGGTTGGGTTGCTTCGAATCCATAGAGATGAGCTTCTTATAATTTTTCAACGGCGTTAGGAATTCCAGTGGCGTCGTACCCATACTTTGTTTTAGACAAAAAAGCATCATACCTATCGATACACGTTTATAGGAACCAAAGCGAAAAAAATGGCGAAGAATAGTGGAAAAACAACAGAATCGTCGACGGCAACCGCCGATTGCGTCTTGAGGTGTCCCAGTTTCTTCAATGTCGTTCGCATGAACGACATGTTGCGTCCGGAGGTGGTCAGTGGCATAAATGCCTATATCAGCAAAGACGTGAGCGAATTATTGGGCGCCAATTGTGAAACATTTGGATTAAGCAGTAGATTGACCGTTGGGTCGCTGTTCCCGTCTGGCTTCCGATTCGGCGCTTCCTACACAGGATGCACCACTACTGCGTTCGGCCGGTAAGACCTAGTGAAATGTAGTGTTCGATTTCATCATGCTGTGTATTTCACCTTTGATTAAATTTTTCTCCTACCTTTGGTGTACACGTTACTTGCATTGTCGTTTTATAGTATGCCATACGCATACATCGAGTCGGACGTCAGCGGTTACTCCACTGGGGTGTTTCAACACATGTTCGGCGATCGGTTTCGTATAAACACCTCCGGACAACACTCGGAAGGATTGCTGAAAGCGGAAGGCACGTTAGAGTATGGCGGCGAAAACTTCAACGCGACATTGGACAGCCAGTGGTCGACGCTCGGCCAACGAGTGGTCGTGTTGAGCAACGTTGTGCACTTGAGCAAACGGTGGTGGATGGGCGGTGAACTAGCGATGGACCGGGTGTGTGACGACGTCCTGGAGGCAAGAGCAAGCGCGACGGTCCGGTACGCCAGACCGGAAGACACGACGGCAGTAGTCGCGGGCAACGACGGCCTGTCTTTTTACTACCACAAGGCAATTAATCGCAGGCTGATGACCGGCGTAGAGATGACCATTAACACTAAACAACGAACCGTCCATGGTTCGTGGTTGCATCGAATAATCCATAAAAATTCTATGCTCAAAGGCGAACTCGACACTAACGGCACGATCAAAGCGTATTTTCATAAGAAACTCGCGTCTAATCTGAAAGTCGGCGTGGGTTGCATATTCAACCATTGGACTAACAAATTTAGTTTGGGCGTTGAGCTCTATTCGGGATTTCGCCAGAGAGATGAATGAGAGACCGCCGGTCGTTGCGGAGTTAAGTGTTGTGTGTGTGTGTTAAGGCGTAATCGATGTCATTAAAACAGGATTTATGTTCCTAAACGGCGGATTGTTCATATGAAACATAATATAAAGAAGGCCCTCGAACCAATATTGTTATCAGTAAGCATGTAAGAATTTTAAAAGAATATTATTCATAATATTGTGGATAATTAGCTCGAAAATTAAAATAGCTTTCCAATAAAAAAACGTAAATATACCGATTTAATAATGGATCTATCAAATACAGCTATTATATATTTTTTTATTCTTTAAATGTTTCATCTATTTATTTTCTTCAAATTCAAATTTAATTTTAGTTATTCATTTTCAGAAGCACCTCATAACCAGATGGGAAACTTTAATGAAATTAGATGGGTTCTTATAAACAGCCGAAAAAGTTCTTATAAACTGCCACATATTTTGCGGCTAGGAGCTAGCGTATAATGACGATTTAAGATAATATGAAAGTTAGCCCACTCATATTACAATAGATTCCACAGTAAACTTTCAAATAACACAAATCTCTTTATCTCACAAATGCAATCATTATCAATTCCAGTAAATCCCACTAGAAGATTAAAAAAAAAATTGGCCTAGAAACGCATTAAACTAATAGAAAAAAAAAATTGTATTAAAATAAATACTGAATTTCAGAGGTGTTATTAATGAGTGGTTTCCTCTCTCATGTTTTTTCACGTGTATTTCATGATTCTATACTCAAATTTACTTATTGTACTATGTATTGTATAGATTTAAAATTTTTAAAAAAATATAAAATTATTAATAATAATTAAATTATTATGAATAATATAAATTATGGGCACAGGGCAGTTGGCCGAAAAATTATAAACGGTTTTATCGCCAACATCATGCACGAGCACCAACGTCCGAATTTGTGTTAACGTTTATTGTTTTGGGACTTGAGTTAAGAAAGAGGAGTTGAAAATAGAACGGAAGCGTCTAAAAGAGAAATGTTGTGTGGAATAATTCGAGAGTTAGGAACGAGTATATAACGAAATTCGTAAGTTGTACCAATAGCAGGAAAACGAGGAAAAATGGATTAGGGCGATTTGGGTAGGTTTCCCAAATACCTGCCCGGCCCGAGCGCACTATCGTTAACTTTAAAGCGTTTTTCCCACAAAAATGTGAAAAATTGAAATTTCAAAAAACTCTCCCGGCGTTACCTGGGGAAAGCGATTATCTAACGAAAGAACTTGATTTTTTTAATTTCGGATGATCCAGCATCGAGTTATGAGGGACACCGCAATACTACTTTTTTCCGAATAATTGCTGCCATTGCCGTATTTTTTAATATTTCTACATGAAAATATTACACAATATTCTTCGAATGTTATACTTTAATGTATCGTTAGTTTTAATAAATAGATTTTAACTGTGTCGTCAAAAAAAAATCACAAAAATTCACCGTATTTTGCACGAATTAACTTTACCCCCCCCCCCCTCCCCTTAACAATATAAATTAAGACAAATTCGTAGAGTTAAGCCAAACTGGTAAAAAATAAATATCATACAGGTATTTTTATACCGTGCATGATTTCAAGGCCGTTTACAAACATCACCCTACTTCACAAAGTACATACAACAATTGTCAATAACAAAGAGTTTTCGTGTTGTCACTGGTACGTTGTGTGTATAATATAATAGTGCATTTATACAAATTCTTGTACTTTTATTGCACAAAACGAAAATTATAGATTTATAATTAAACAGTGTGTATTGTTCTAAATTTTATTAAACATTTTGTAAAGAATGTTATTATAATACATTTTACAAAAGTTAAATAAATAATAACAATATACAAAAATTGTTCTGAAACAAAATGATGGAGTCTATACAATCGGGCTGCTTTTTTCATTTTTTCCAGGTAATATTAGTTTCTTTTGACAGAAATTTAATAAAATCTAATTGAGTAGTTAGTTAAAATATGTTGGCCATAGTATGAACATCAAACAAATTCATAGTAAGCGGACTTGATAATGTTTTATCTGGTGAGAAATTGTGAATGTTTTGCCGACTAAATTGACAATTCAAATACCTTCAAACACTTGAAAATCACCAATCCACTTCAATTTGCTTAATGAAAATTCAATAGCCTAGTATAACAAGATATAAGAAATATCACTGTCATTATAATTATACATGATTGTAAACATAATATTTACATACTCGAAATTAAATAATTACATTAACTAATGTGCATAAAATAAACTGAAAGAACCTGAGATTTAGTTTGATAAAATTCTGGATTCAGACGATAAAGCTGAAATTTGCACACATTTTTATAGTTGCCTATATCAATTTGAAATATTTTGACAGTATCTTCATCACAATTTGTACAATATCCAACGCTTTTTACCGTTACCCTGTGCCATTTTTTATTGTCACATAGAGCATAGTAGTTTTCCCACTTTGGGATCATCTTTTATTGGTTTTTGATTGAATGTATTTGACATAAAAGTGCTAAAATCGTTTTGCATTTTTATGAAGTCTTCCAAAAAAAATATATATTTTAAGCAATCAAAAAGAACTCTAGAATATTTCAACAACTTTCATATTAAACCAACAAAAAAAAACCGGATTAACTATGCATAAATTATACCCACTTATACACACGCTACATTATATTGTTGTATTTTATTTCTAAATAATAAAAAAAAGAGACGACTCCTATGAAAAAGTTGTCGAGCTACAGTTGTCGAAAGGTGGAATTTTATTGAGTTTTAAATAACACTTTTGTTGACAATTAATTCCGTTAATACTCAAGTTGTAATATTCAACTCGTAAGAAGTTTCGAGTTTCAATATACAATGTAGCTGATCAAATAATATTATTTTGTACTAAAAATCAGTTGAATTATAGTAACTTATAGTACTTAAATTACAAGTTACGACATTGGACATCACTACAACGTCAGTTTCAAAATATCTAGAAGAAATATGCACCGAAACTACAACACTATTTTGTTCATGTTCAAGTGTTTGCTGAACGACGGTTTTAGCGTTGTGATATTTAAATGTATCTATTAATTTATCATCATCTTTGGTGTTATTCGGTTTTAGACATTTTTTAATTGCCTTATTAAACAGCATTTAAAACCAAAATTCAAATATTGGTAAAAATAAAAATGGTAATAAATCCACGGAATATCTTTTGAAAATTGTGCAGCTCAACGTAGAAGGAATGACCAAGTCAAAGGCTGAATTTTAATCAGTCGTGTATTTCACTACGCGGACATTTTGGCCCTGCAAGAGACCCATCACTTTCAGATGATCAGCTAGAGAAGCTAAAGATTCCATGGTTTCAGCTGATCGACTACATAGGGCACAACAAACATGGCATGGCTACCTATGTGAGTCAAGACTTGGACCCTAAAAATATAAAGAGGTTATAGGGAAACAAACATGCGGTTGGAATCGAGATAGGGAATACAAAAATGTTTTACATACACAAACCACCGTCGGAAAATTGGACAACATTTGTGCTACCACTAGCAGAACACCCTGCAGTTTATATAGAGGAGTATTGCATTAAGTCTTAGAAATAACATTTTTTTTTTTTAGATTAAATTGTTTATATTTTAGAAAACAAATAACACTGTATATGGTTGCTTTTAATACAACAATTAATTGGTGAAGAAATATACTACAATTTAATGAAACCGAAAAGAGCCCCACACGCTTGCATGTCTGAACACCAATGGGCCAGTCCGTCTGTAATATTATTAAAAATTATTTTGCAACTTGATTTTTATTTTGACGTTTAGTTGTTAGAAAGGACTGTTCAATCAATGAGGTCTCGCTACCACTAGCATATAATAAAACAAATAGAAAAATATGAAATTGGGGTAAGTATTGTTCTCACACCAGGCCGCACCCCACATAAAACAACAGCAGAAGCAGCAACAACGTCCGCCGGTGGTATAGAAGAATAATTGGTTAAATTAAAATATTATTCAATATTTTCATATCTATAATCATCTGTAGCACGTTGGGAAGTTTTCAACTTGGTGTCAATTACTGTGTTCTATTACACGATTATGTCTTAAAATTTTTTAAGTTTAAATTTATATTATAGTCACAGTTATGTTATAATTGTGGCCGTCGGGGACACAACGCCAAGGATTGCACAGGGTCCGACAAAAGTCAGGTCACGAAAGTAAAGTTCAATAAAAACACGCAAACTTATTGGAATTTAACATTCTTTTTATTTATTATGAATATTTCATAGGATGTGCAATTTACGCGTGATAAACCACCAATGAAGGTCTTCGTATGCCAGAATACGACGACCTTCGTTGGTGACACAGGCAGCATCAATGTCTTTTTGTAGTTCAATTTTTTTGTGTCAATAAGACTGACTGGATTTCAAATGTACGCCTGCCGGTGTGTATCACGTGTGTTTTATTCTGTTTTTAGCTATACATCACACGTTTCCAATAATTTTTCTATTAATAAGCGCTGCTCCCGGTGACAATATTCCACACTACATTATTTGTGTTGTACGCGTTGCCAGTCCCAACGTAAACATTGTTCATACACAGTATATTTAATCTATGCTTTTTGTTCTTTTAATATACTGTTCTAAAATATTGCAGTATATTTCCTATTTTCAGAAACAAACGAATGTTGGGGATGTGATGGACACCAATGGTAAATGATGAAGATAATATGATGATGACAATAACAATTATTTTATTGTCAAGCTAGAAGCTATTTCAACTTGTAACAAAATAAAATAAATTGTTTTTAATCTAGGATTGGCCAGATTTTAGGGAAAACTATGAAAAATAATAGATAATAATAATAATAATTTCTTTATTCACGGAGATAAAACTCGATTTTGCATAATATAAATCTAGACGTCTTATATTCAAGTTTTACTGTTGTCATTATTACAGTCAATTAATGTTTTTAAAAATACCTTTTTTAAATATTTCTTTATTTCAGGATCGT